AGAGAGAGAGAGAGAGAGACTGCAGAGCTAGGGGTGCTGAACGAGCACAGAGCATCAACAGCTCAAGTTCCGAACAACTTCTAAGTTAGCACAGCGCAGGACATCCAGTACACAATACCTGTCCGATTTAAAGAAACACGTACCAGGGGATTGAAGACTTCCAACAACCCGCTGACAGTTTCTAAACAGCGGAGTATACCCCAAATGCCTCTTCTAGTCACTAAGGCCCTGAATCAGTCTCTCTGGAAGCATCATCATCATCATCATCATCATGGGAACATGCCGCCAAAGGCATGCGCCCATACTTGGTTCTAAATTCTGAGGGCATCTGGCGGCTCCTCTCTGGTAGGCTAATGTGATGATTACCAGCGGGTTTTTGCCATTGCTATGTCTGCAAGCATCATATCCACCCGGCTCTCGTCCTCAGAGCTGCGTTTTCTTGATAGCCTTGACCAACAACTGTTATCTCAGGCATTCTGAACACATCCGTGAACCTTTGCCTGACAAGCCCTGGCCGGGATATGATCTCTACCAGGTGTGTGCACATCCCACGTGACTACATGTTAACACAACATGCTCGGTTTCCCACGACCAACGGCTGAAGCGTACTGACGATACTTCATTTATCTTCCGTCGTTGTATCGTACTCTGATTTCTGTTGGCAGCTGACCCATGGAGGGGCCTGGCCAATGAGAAGGGCGGGCATAACACCTGCAGCGTCAAGGCGCCACCCTAAACTGAAACACCTCGAACGCAAGATATCTGCAGGAAATGAACGTCTGAACAAACGGGCTCTGTCTTCTGTTGACGTTTGAACTTGGGCCATTCGAGAGGCGTGTAAGAGTTCTGGGTTGTGAGAATACTGAAGCTGCCATGTCGAAAATGCAATAGCATGTAGCAGGGTGCCCAACCAAGTTGCGGCACTCCACAACATGACGTTTCAATCACTTCTGCTCGCTGAAGAGGAGCACTGCCAGATCCTAGACCTGAAACCATCCTACGACCCGCGACTGAACCCCAAACCATACACGCTGATCTCCATACACACAGCCCTTGCATCCATGATCTGTGGTGCAGGGTTCGGTGTGAAGGTGTGGGAGCTACTAATTACTGTCATCGACCGACCAGAATGCAAGGAGAACTGCGAGCCCGACTGCTGCAAAGCTGAGCCTCTGCCGATTCCAACTCCTCTTCTGTGGCTGTATCCAGAGGAATGAGCCTGCATGCAGAGGACAAGTCATAGTAAGCACATTGCCAGTGTTTACAATCATCTATGCCATCAGGCACACATGCATGTCTGCAAAATGGAGAGGTAGGCATGTGTGCATGCATACATGTCTGGATGCATGTATGTAAAGGCTTATGCACATATGTTGTATGCATGCATGTATGTAGGTCCGTACGTTCGTTCCTGCGTATGTACATATGCATGAATGAATGCATGCATGCATGTATGCAGCACAATTGAGAGAGAGAGAGAGAGAGTGTGTGTGTGTGTGATTGTGTGTGTGTTCTAGCCTATCCTAGAATCCATGTGTTGCCTGTCACATCCGAGTGTTGTGAGCTCTGTGCTTAATTGGAAGACTATTGACGATGACTCCAAAACCCAAGAGCCTAGAGCAAAATCTCTCACTTCACAGTTATGCCTCCACTCGGACGCTGGCAATCGCAAAGCCAACGAAGAAACAATGCTCGGGTCCACGACGGCCGTCAGAGGCCTCAATGAAGACTTGGGGTTTAGGATAAGCCTAAACCCAAAGCCCTAAACCCTAAATGGCACTTTAAACTTTAGGGTCGCGGCACTTAGGATTCTGGTCAGTCGGACTGCGAAGGTGAAGGTGGTATCTGTCTCTCTCCGTCTCTGCCTCTCATTTTTTCTTTGATGGAGAGACCGATGATTTGGCAGTTGTTGGTTGGGGACTTGGATGCACCTGGGAACCTTCAACCCTAAACCTCGAACCTTTACAACCAGCAGGCTGTCCCTCGAACGGTGCGGAGACTGCGGGTTGGGGGTTGTCTTTCTCGAGCATAGGGGGCTGGCTCTGTGGGTGGAAGGGCCTTCGTGCTAAATCAGAAGTGTTGGATGATCATGATTCTAAATATACCCAGAATCACTGGAAGGATGCATCTCACATCTCTGAACTCTGGCAAGCGTCACTGCAGCTGCAGCCTCAGAAGCAGCCAACCAGCCCAGCGCCCACGGCAGCTGGCGCAACATTGGCGCTCTTGCTTGGACGAAAACTAAAACGAAGGTCTGAGACAAAGCTGCGGCGGATAGAAAGACACCCCCCAGACCTGAGCAAGGTTGGCGTCGTAGGTTAGCAGTCGGGTGAGCCCTCGAGTATGACGTGTCTCAACATGAAGCAGCATTGGCTTCCTCTACATACACATATGTATATGAAGACATTATCTCATCCCGTGAGCTGCTGCGACTGCTGCCACTCCGACCATTGCTTCTCCTTGTTGCGCTCCTACTCCTTCTCCTGCTGCTGCTGCTGCTGCTGCTGCTGCTCTTACTACCGCTGCTCCTGTACCTTCTCCAACGACAAAGGACGATTACATCTTCGCCAAGAATGCGTCATGAGTCATGGGCACAACTAGTCTTACAAGTATGCGCACCGTACATGAATTCATTTTTTGTGCTCTTGTCTTGTTACTAGCAATACTGCTACTGCATGGCATGAAATCTTTGCCTCAGTGTTACGTGTCTACATACGAGTGCGATCATGAACTGATGCAGTGAGAAGCTGGCTTCTTTCAAACGGCCGGAGTGACTTGGCACTCGAAGCTGCTGAGCTTCGGCACACAAGATCCAGGGTCGCTGGCTCGTCTTCTTGATTTGTTCGAAGCGTTTGAGCACTGAATACTTGTTGCTTGAGCGCATGGCAGTCAGCTGGCTAGAGCGGCTAGAGATTCGGAAGTTGCAGTTTAAATGGTGCTGTCTGGCTTGCAGGCCAATGTGTCTACGTTGCTTGCTGGATGGAACCATGTTGGCACATCTCTCCACCACCACCCCTAGTGAGCCAAGCAGATGCGCGCAAATGCATGGACGATGGGCGCCGCAATTGTGACATGTCACATGCAGGAGGCGAAACTCGACTACCCTGTACGACAATCTTTTAACTCTACTGATATCTAGTTACACGTGGGTTCAGCCCAAGGATCGCCGTGGCATGACATCAAGCGAAGAAACCTCTTCTGTAACCTACTTTGTGGTTGTTGCTAGCAGCTTTCCGGCCGTCGGGAAACGATCTTTAACATGCTTGCTCCGAGATTGGCGGAAGATTTCGAAGTACACATCGACAGCAAATCCTACCGACTCTCAAAAACGCCAAACCTCAACTCACAGAAACTGCGAAGCGGACATCCAAAGGCCCGAAAGAGTGAGCAAACTGAAGACCTCAAGCCTCAAAGCTGGCAGCCTGAATTCCCAACCCTCAGAATAACCATGTACGGGAGAAGATTTGGGCATCTAGGGCTTCAGGGTGCAGATTTAGAGGGTTTGTCTAGAATCTAGAAATCTTCTGGCTGCCCCGGCAGGTCCGACGCCGACACTTTGAAGAGGCCTCGGTGACGCTTGAACACAATATTCTGACCTCTTCCCAGGATTTCGGGTCCTGAACCGATAACGGGCAGGGTCCGATAATGGTCTTACGTCTTCAGATGTCATGTTTCGAATCTCCAGGTCGGCTTCCTGGTAGTTCTGAGCTACATCTGCCCGAAGTCACGGTGCTCCTCAAGGAGCCTGTAACAGTAAGCTGCCTTGCCACCTTCGGCGAAACTCGCAAGAGAAGGCTTTGCGCAAAGAGGGCTGAGGTACTGGCACACCCCAGACTGATCGACTCCTGCATTGTCAAGACCTGCCACAAGAGAGGGTCAGGGGTCGGAAGTCAAATTGCTGTTTTCCGCTTGTTGTACTTCTAGAGTATTGCTGTGATCATTCGTAGTTTTCCTGTTGTGCGAACGAAGACGGTGGTGAGTTTTGACGGTGGTTCCAGACACAGGGTTGGGGTTTTCAGGATGTGGTCCGGATACGGCGGATTTGAGGTTCTGGGTTCAGGGGGTTCAGCTTCAGGGCTGTGGCTTGAGGATCCAGAGTCTAACTCTTTTGGGTTTAGGCTTGAGGATTGGGAATTAATGTAAATGGCCCAGTCACCGTACAGCCCCCCATGGCAACTCATGTGCTTTAACCAGTAATACAGGGACCGACTCTCAATGATTCTGGCAGTCGTAGAGGCATTGTGGACACTGGACCCCCAAAGCCAAGAGCAGAACCAGCGAAAATACACATTCGACCTAGAGGGCGAGCTTTTCCGCCCTCCCTCGTTCGAAAGCGCCTGGCTCGCAGGCCCTGCACTTGAAGATCGTAGCAAGAGCAGCGCAGTGGTTGATGAAGAGAAGATCCTCGCAAGCTTCGGGGCCAAAGATCGCTAAAGCTGGTTCCCCAGCAACCCCTGAGCAATATGAGAACTGTCTGCGTCTGTTCCGCGTTAGTGAGATCACCTCAAAAGAAGCAGGGTAACAGACCTGGTGCGTCGTGGAACCTTGAACGCTAAACGCCCCCCTAACTCTACAACCGCAATCCCGGAGCGGGCCCAAGTCCCAAACAGAAGCCTCCAGTTTGAATTTTCAGCTTGGGGGCGAGAGACTGATTGGAAACGATCCTATAGAGTATTTAGGTTTAGGCATTAGGACCCAGGGACTTCCCGGCACGAGGGAATGGACTTCACGGGTTAGAGCTCGGGAATCTGGAATAGCTACTGTTTCCGGAGAAAGGTATAGCGTTGATGTGCTGAGGGATGAGGGTTCCACGATTGATGGTTGTTGGTTTGCAGATCGCAGCTGACTGCAATGTTGAAAGCCGGGGGGCCTGGTGTTTCGCGATGAAACCATCGCACTTTACGGGTGGGAGCTTGTGCTACACGCTTCTTACAGGAACTATCCCAGTAAAGCACAATGCATCACCACAGCTTCTTTCAAAAGCCAAAACCTTGACGATGCGACCTGGAGTTTTGTTCAGGATCGTTACCAAAACCAGCTAAGAAGTTGCAGGCAGGTGTACCCAGGCCATTAATGACAGCTGCCAGGCTGTACAACGGAAGCCGAAGAATCAGCACCAATTAGAGCGAGAGCAAAGCATAACAGGGTATACTTGACATTATCCTCTTGCCCTGGTCCTTTGACTCAGCGTCGATACTACGGTCCCCTGTTCTCTGAAACTCGTGAAGCGGAAGGGCCTGGTCCAGGCAAGTGAGGCCGTAGTTGAGGCAGGTCTCCAAGCAGGTCTTGCCGGACCTTAGCAACTGCACCCCGAGCAGGGAGGTGGAAGGCTGATGGGCCTACCTAGACCCTCCATCTACCCTCTATTAGACCCTAAATACCCTTAATTTGGGACCAGATACGCCTATTTGAGGGTACTTGGAGGGTCCTGGTAGAAGGGTCACAGAGCGTCAACCCGGACTTCTAGCAAGCAAGCGTGGCTAAGCTCCATGACCAAGCTTGGTACCATGGTGGGCTAAACAAGAACCATACGGCCCCTAACGGAGCAAAACAAACCCTTTCAAATCCTTATAGACACACAAAGACCACACAAAAACCTCATTGACAAGCAAACTTGGAGACATTGTAGAACCCTGACAGAAGCCGTAACATGCTTACGAATCCTTATGAGACGCTGAGGTCGGGGCGCCGAAGCTGCATGCACCTGACAGGGTCGAGCGACCTATACCCCAACAAAAACAAACAGCAAATCGAGTTCACCGAGCTGAAGCCACTTGTGCCAGAAGTTGGTTGAGGAGCTTGTGTATTCAAGGCCAAGCTAGACAATGGGACAGGACTTGCCAATGTGCCACCGGGCCTCTATCGATCGAAATTCTGCCCATGTAAATCTCTGCCGCAACCACGGCAGTAGGACTAAATTTATGCCCGAGACCCAATCAATGTTTATGCCGGATCTCGAGCTGCAGAAATGTAGGATAGTCGTTTGAAGGCTTGCTTCAAATCTAAGGGGTGTTGTGGTTGCAGGATTTCCAGGGTTAGCGCTTCCCGCTCCGAGCAACATACCAGCGGTTGGAAAATAATGAGTTCCCTGATGCCTCATTGTCTACCAGGGCTGTCGCCAGTTTCGAACCGTCTTTGCTTGTGGATTCTAGGGCAGGCCTCAAACCCACCACGTTGCACTACCCTCCCACCCCCCCCTGTGACTCACTGCCGCATCCGGTCTTGTGTTTAAGCTGCAGTGGACTTTCTTTCTCTCCGCAGAGCCATCATCCGGCCCCGTGGGGCTTACAATAACAAAAACACCCAGCACCTCTAACGTCTGGTCTAGGGTGCCGGGAATTTTGTCAGCCTTTCGCAGCAAAGCAAGCCAGAAAACCTGCATACTCCCATGTCTCCAGCGAGGTTCGCACTCGACTTCCCCAATCCATGCTGGGCTTGGGTCCCTGGGCACCTCCCCCCCAGGTGGCCGCAGGAATGGCGCCGTCAGAGAGAAGAAGAGCCTGGCGACGCAGTGGCTCGTTGAACAAATGCCGCCTTGCGACGGTCTAAGTCATTCCGTGAAGGTCCAGAAAGGGAAGAGAGCATCAAGGACTTTCTGGCTGATTGTTAAGGCTCCTGCCTTTTGATAAAGGTAAGGCCGCATGGGCTTTCAAATGTTTGAGTTCAGATCATGAGCGGGTCTGACAATGCTGATGCTGGTGAAAGGACTCGCACCGGCGGTATCTTGCAGTACAGGCCGAAAGTCACAATACGAACCGCAACCAAACCAGCCGTGTTCACCATCACCGACATCTTCATCTCACCCACAACTGATACAGCCCAAGACCACCACTTCTCATGCACCTCGACGGTTTCTAGAAATCAGGGCTAAACTGAAGCTTAGGGGGTTCATGCCTTGCAAAAGCTTGTTGTGGAGACTCTGTGTGTGTGTGTGTCTGTCTTTGGCAGAGCAAAGAACATAAGATCGAAATTGCTGCTTGCAGGAAGCGGCTGTTGAAACACAACGCCTCGACCTCCAAACTCAAACCCACACGATTTCCAACCGTGGGCTCCTGTTCAGCGTAGCAAAAGGTATGTAGTATGCTCCGGGTTCAGACGGGACTGCGGATGCCATAGGCTGGAGTTAATTAAGGGGCTTCTGGTGATGTACTTCATGGTTTCTCGAATCCAAAAACCCAACACATGAAACCCGAAGGTCTCGCAGCACCCTATTGTCGAAGCCAGAAAGCTAGACATGACTATCCCCATACCCAGCAGGTATGCATATAGGGAATCTCAATAACCATGGTAGAGCCATGTTCCAACTTTGTGATAGGCTGCACGCCCTTACCCCCAAAAGGCCTCTCACAAGCCATAAAAACTGACTCAAACAAGAAAACTCTACACCCCATAAGCAGTATAACCCTAAACCCGAAACCTAAAACCCTAATCCCCCGAACCCATGGAGCAGCAGAAATGCGGAATTCCGCGTCGGCGGCGCATTGGGTCCATCGGGAGAGTGCTGCTCTTCAGCTGGCCCCAGGACCTGCGCCACACGGGGACAAACTGATCTAGGTTTAGGGTTTAGGGTTAGGGTTCAGGGTTTAGGGTTTAGGATCTAGCGATCGTAGCGCTTGTAGAGGTAGAGGGGCCTTCATAATTCGAGCAGGGTGTTTTGGGGCATAGCATAGCATAGCATGATTACATGGGAAGCACAGGGCATAGGGGCATGCTCCTGTAGATTTTTCAGGCTGCTATACGACTATATTACCTGCGAGCATATTGCTAGCAATGGATAAGCATAGTTCAGTTATACTCTTGATCCCTGACTTGACTTGTTTCGTGGGAAGGGTGTTGTTGCTGTGGTTTGCGTTTCAAGGCCCATCGGAGGGGGAACACAACGGCTCGGACAAAGTAGTCTGAAATCTGGTGTGTTCCAATAATTTACATGTTCTACTCTAGGCACGAGCCTCCACACGTGCTCAAACAAACTGGCCTCAGGCCCTCCGTCACGATGCTCGGCACCTGCACCGCGTGGCAAAGTGGAAAGAGCCCCGTGATTACGGGTTTGAGGCCCGTAACCCGTGGCTTCAGGCTGCGGGCGTCAGGCTCACCACTATGCAAACAGCCAGCCGAACAGGAGACGTGAGGAGCGTGTCCTACTTGCTCAGCCTCCACAATCGTGGTAAGCAGCCTACCACTACAGTTCCACGCAAAGTCGAGGTGTTTTAGCTGGTTTACGTGCAGCCTTCAAACTCCCAAGGTCAGCACTTTACGATATAAGCTTTGAAGCATCCATACCAAAACCCTGAAGGGTGCAATGCGGCTTGGCACTACTTTGGAACTGACAGTCCCCCTATCATCACGACATACAGCTTACCAATATTGCCAGTCCTCTGTGTGTGTGTGCGCGCACACGATGCTACCATTCCTAATATTGCGAGTCTTTAACATCAACATCTTGCTTCAGACTCCACTGCACCAGGGAAGCTTCTGCTTCCACTTGCAGCCGCCGAAAGGAACCCGTGGGATGTAAGCTCTCCGATGACGTCAATTTCGCAAAGCCATAATCGCATCGGCGTGCTATGTGCCAATCAACTTGCTTTGACACGGGCCAAGCCCGCGGTGACGCAGCGCTTTGACGTCTACTGGCTTGGCCAGGGACCCCAGCAGGCCACTCAGGATATGTACAAATGCAGAGCATTGAGTGGAAATCAGCCGGTAGGATGCATGGAACAACGGTAGTAAAGACGCGTAGATGTCACACGAGTACTTTGGCAGGTGGGCGGGCCAGCGCACTTTCCAAATCCTAACGACGAAGTCCCTCCACCAGCAGCCATCCGTCTCCTGCGAAGGATTCCTCACTTGGACCAGTTGATTTCTCGTCCGCGCACACCGCTGGACTTTGGCTTTGCCTGGCGGAGAATGGGCCAACCCTTTTCAGTCTCCCTGCACCACTAAGATAAAGAATGCTTTGCCCATATAAGTGTTCGGCTCCACGGCACAGCACATATCTCCCACACAAGCCACACCAAAACCATATTTTCCAGTCATTTGTGCAAACCCACTTTTTCCTGCAGCATACCTCTTCATTCCCCCATGCCCCAACTCACCAATTACCTTCGCAACCAGAATACCACAAGTCGTTTTCAGAGCTCGATTTTGCATTTTCAACCATCCACTACGTTGTCCATCAAAGTCCGTCCATTTTGCCCCCCCCAGCAGCAACTGCTGATAGCCTCCCGAGAACAAGCAAAAATCCACCTTCTAGAACATGCTAGACCCCAACTCCCAACACCTCACCCTAAGACAATGTGACAATTCATCTTACGATCTCAACCACGACACCACAATAGAACCTCCGTACCTACAACAACCCAGGCACCATACACCCGAATAGGCAGTTGGGGAAGTCTTATAGACCTTTTAGGGTTTCGGTTAGGGATGATCTTAAGGGCTGTTCACAGCCACGTGCAAGTGCCGCACCTTGTCCTTCGTTTAAGGTCCGCTCTCGTCCCGCAAGTGTCCCGCACTGTCCGGCTACTCATGATTGATGACTTGTACTTCTCTTTCGCATAAGCGCGAACGACAACGATCATGCTTGACGTATTAGATCTTCCCGGCTATCGGCATTATGAACTCGCAATTCCTCATATTTTACTTAGGTGAACCATGCTTCGAGTCATTCAGTATCCCAATTAGTTTGCTATTGTTGGTTCTCCATATTCCATGACTGGTGAACTATACTGGTGTATGGCCAAAGCCATTAAGTCGAAGCTCTATGGGGAGTTTATAACAACAGTTGCAAATAGAAGACGCATCCCCGAGGCAAGCAGAACAAAGTGTAAAACATTATACATCTGTATTCAGATCGAAAGATCGCCCAGTTCACCACGGGAGACAATTAAATTAGGAAACTAACCACTCCAAAAAAACTGAAAATTACTAACAACAAGCACAACAACACTACTACGACAGCACAACAAGACCTGTGACCAACAGCTGCCCCGACTGCGTCACAGTCCACATTGTGATGGGGCAGGGAAAAGGGAAAATAACCGACAAAGGCTGCCATCTTGTCCTATGTATGTATGTATGTATGTATGTATGTATGTATGTATGGACGTGCATATGCAAGCATGTACGTCTGTATGTATGTATGTATGTATGTATGTATGTATGTATGTGTACAAAATATTGTAGTTCATGTGGGCCAGATTATAGGTATGACTAAAATGTATATAGTATAAGTTTAAGTAGGTAATGTCTGAAGTCTTAACACTAGAATAATTACTAAATTGTCGCTCATACTATGT